GGATCCCTCCTTACTGCAATTCTTTTCCTACTTCCTGGGCTTTCCCTCTGGGTAATTCCATCCACACCCTACATTTGGTTGGATAAACACCTCTGGGCTGGTGAGTCCCGAGTCTAACTTCAGCCTTGTCCACTCTCCTGTACTATGGACCATAGAGCTGACTACGGGACACCTCCTCGGCTTGCTCCTCTCTCGGGACCCTAACCTTAGTGACTGGCATGACGAGTCCCTCAGTTCCTATCACAAGAAACCTGGGTGTTCTGAGTTCTCCAAGTTCCACCAGCCACCAAGTCCTGTGTAGGACACTTTTGAGTAATTCTCAAATCAAATCTGTCCTCTTTGTCTCCACATCTTTTTTTCTGGCTCGGTCATCCCTCCCTGTATTTCTATGCCAGCGTCCAAGAGACCAGTCATCTGCCATTCCCTCCAACTCAGTTTTCTGAAGTGTAACCGGATTGGCATTCCCCTACCTTAAGCCCTTTGGTGGCTCCCCACTATCCTCTGGTGAAGTTCAAATTCCTTAACAAAGTGCGTCAAGTCCTAGTCTTGGTCTCATCTCTTGCCCTTACACAGTGTGAATCCACCATGACAAAGCACCTGCAGCCTTACGAAAGCACAGAGCCCTCTGCTCACCCCCCAGCCTCTGCACACTTCTGCTCACCCTGGGCCTCTGCACACTTCGCCCCATTCCCTGCACCTAGACGTCCTTGCCTCTCACTCCTGATTTTTCTTCAGGTCCCTGTCAAACCATGCTCCTTTTAGAAAGCCTTCTCTGATCTCTTGCTGAACTGGATTGGTCGCCCTTGCTATGGGATTTCATAGCATCTCATGCTTCCCATGATCAGAAAAATTTTTATACTTAAAATTACCTTTTTTTCTTAGTGTTTATGTAAACATGTCTTTTTTTTTTTTTTTTTTTGGGTAATGGGGATTGAACCCAGGAGTGCTCTACCACTGAACTATCTCCCAGCTCTTTTTGTCTATCATCTATTTATTTATTTGAGGTGCTGGCCGGGGCCTAATGCGTGCCAGGTAAAGTCTCTACCACTGAGCCACATTCTCAGCCTCTCTATTTTAAATTTTGAGACAGGGTCTTGCTAAGTTACCCAGGCTGACCTGGAACTTGTGATCCTCCTGACTCAACTTTGTGAGTCACTGGAATTATAGGGATGTGCTACCACACCTGGCTTGGGTCTTGTTTTATAACATATCCTCAGCATCTGGCATATGCTAGACACATAGTAAGTGCTCAATAATATCTGCTAAAAGAGTAAAAGACAGGGATTGGGGCTGTAGCTCAGTGGTGGGGCGCTTGCCCGGCATGTGCATGTGTGAGGCATTGGGTTCAATTCTTAGCACTGCATAAAAATAAAATAAAGGCATGCTGTCCATCTGTAACTTAAAAAAAAAAAAAAAGGAAAGAAAGAAAGTAAAAGACATCTGAAAAGTTACACTCCCCTCTCTTTCTTGGGGTAATAAATTGCATGTTGTTACATCACCTGCTCTAGACAGCTTATAATAAGGAAATAGGTTAATTTGGGAAAACAAGTCCTCCTAGGGAAACTTGACAGACTGGAGAAATTGAAGCATCTGAGAAGTGGAGACTAGCTTGTGGATGCTGACACATGGCACTAACCCCAGGCTCATGTGCAGGAGCCCATGAGGGCAGGGAGCCACAGCATCCTCTGCCTTGGCTCATCACATGACGGTCCTGTGAAGCATGGCTGCTCTGGAACAGTCTCCACCTGTCAGTGTAGTAGTAGCATTACAGAAGGCTGCACCTGGGTTATGGTCTTCCCTCTGGCCACTAATTATCTGAATTGCCTCAGGCAATACTCCATTATGGATTCTGCACTGGAAAAGGTAGTTTTAAAAATAGGGTAAATGCTCATATGTCATCTATTACTTCTTTAACAAATACCTATTATAAGGCTGGGGGTGGAAGTCAGCACAGTAGAGTACTCCTCCAGCATGCATGGGGCCCTAGGTTCTGTCCCTAGCACTGAAAAACAAACAAAAATGCTTTTATAGGGCTAGGGTTGTGGCTCAGTGGTAGAGCGCTTGCCTACATGCATGGGGCACTGGGTTTGATCCTCAGCACCACATAAAAATATTGTGTCCACCTAAAAACTAAAAGATAAATATTTTTAAAAAAAACCCTGTTATATACCTACTATGTGCCAGATACTGTTTCAGGTACTGGGATCTGGCAGTGAATGAACTGGATCAGGTTGCAACTTCCTGTCTGTAAGCAAGGGGGTGAACCAGATAATCTCTCCCAGCTTAATGTTCTGAGACCCCACTTAGATCAGATACAAACTTATGCATGGAAGGGCTAATGGTAAAATAGCAGGCTCCAGTCTCCCTCCCCTTCTCCCTTCTCCCTCCCAAACTCAACATTGGGAAAACAGAAAAAGGTTTGGCATCATTTGTTTGCCTGCAACCAAAGATTTAACTCTCCCCAAGTACCTGTCATTTAATACTTTTATCTCTTTTGTGGAATGAAAGGTTTTGTTTTGGTTAGAACTGCAGACAGTTACAAGGAGGCCTGGCAAGATATTCTAGGCAAAGGTAGGTGCATTGGTAAAGGACAAAGCACAGTTTCTCTGATTTGCCAGAAAGGGCAGGTCACTCAGGTTCCTCCCTTCTGGGTGTTCGGATCTCCTGGTTCTATTTCCTTTCCTTTACAGAGGTAAAGGTCTTCAGCCTGAAGGTCCTGAGTCTCTACCACTTCAGTATCTGGAACACTAATTAGGAACAGAGGATTCAAGAGAAAGCCTGGGTCCTCAGCCTGGTTTATAGTTCCATATGACCATCATTCCAGGTTAATGTCAGGTGTGGGATGGCACTACTCAAGTTTTAGGTTGGGTGCCGTGGCACACACCTCTAGTCCCAGCTACTTGGAGACTGAGGCAGGAGGATCACTTAAGCCCAGTTCAGAGCCAGCCTGGACAACACGGTGAGACCCTTTGTTGAACAAACCCGCCCTCTACAGAACTCTGAACCTTAATGTTGACACTGGATAATTACATGTGATAATTTTCAATTTTTGACTATATAAAAGTAAATGAGTCAGTAAGTTTACTATTTGTGTCCCACTACTATGAGACAACAGTTATATGGAATTATGTCAGAGTGACAGGAACACTTCCTTATCAACAGCAAACTCTGACTTCAGATCTTGAAGTATTTGATGAAACAGAGGGCAGATGATTCAAAAGACATGGCTCCTTTGCTTATTAGCCATAATACTATATTGATATCTTCTCTGTGCAGATTTCAACTATTAAGATACTTGCCTCATTTGTTACAGGATTGATGTGAGACTCCAGACAACATATGTGAAAGTGCTCTGGAACTGCCAACTGTTTTATGCACAGAAGGCACTGTCACCATCAGCCTCCCAAGGCTGGCTGGCTGTGCAGTCCTTGTTGCTGGCCACCATCTGACCTCTTGCCCTCTGTCTTGCTCACTCAGGCATCCCTAGGAGAACAGCCTCCCCAGCACCTAACAATATCTCCCCCCCACTGAACCTTAAGAGGATATGTGGAAAGCTAATTCTTGTCTGCTCCATCACACTTGAGAGCCCTTCTCATCAAGCACTGGAAGGAAGAAGGGAGGGCAGTGACAAGGCTTATTTTCTCCAGGTAGTTCATTCATTTTACCAACGAATAAGAAGTTTTAGAATTTTTCTTTGTACAAACGTTCTGAGTTGGGTTCAGTGATACAGCATGATGCTTCTCAAAGAATCTCAGCTTCACAGTCTGGCAGACTTGAGTCCACATCTGGATATGGCCAACTTTGGCTGTGCAGCCTTATTCTGAACTTGAAGCTCCTCTTCTATATGAAGGGGTACTAGATAGCTTGAAGCATTACTGAAAGGATTATAATTATTGTCTGAGTGACTGGCATCTAAGTGCACCGAAGACAACAGATGAGCCACATGGCCCATCTTTGAGTTCAAAGCATCATCGAGTTGTGGGTGATGGGACATAAAGACCAAGAGAAGGTACACAGAGGGAGGTACCATATTCAAAAAATAGTGAGGGTCTTGTTCTTGGCGGGACTCTCGAAGGACCTGAATGATCCAGGTGAACATTGAAAGCATTTCAGTTCAACTTTAAGATCTCCATTTCTTTTTTGGACCAGGGATTGAAGCCAGAGGTACTTAACCACTGAGCCAAATCCCCAAGTCAAATCACTCTTTATATTTTGAGAACAGGGTCTTGCTAAGTTGCTGAGGCTGGCTTTGAACTTGCTATCCTCCTGCCTAGGCCTCCTGAACTGCTAGGATTACAGGCGTGTTCCACTGCACCCTGTAGATCTCCTTAACTGTTAAAGTCATACAAAGAAATATCCATCTTAGGAGACATTCTGTAAAAAACTCAAAATACTGCTGGGTTTGGTGGCACATGCCTGTAATCCAAGCAACCTGTGGGCTGAGGCAGGAGGATCACAAGTTGGAGGCCAGCCTTCGAAACTTAGTTAGACCCTAAGCAACTTAGTGAGACCCTGTCTCAAAAAAAAAGTTCAAATAAAAAATTGTAATGATTGGATGATGCAAAGTCTGTCCTGCATAGCTACACAAATGAAATAAGAAAGTGATTACTTCCCAGTTGTCAATGAAGTTCTGATTTAAAGGTTTATTACAGTGCAAGTTAGTTTTTAGTTTTTCCCTAGTTATCAGCAAGATGACTGGTGCTAAGAGTACTGCAGGGAAACAACTGGTTTTATACTTGTGTCTTGTTTTGGCTGAATAAGGTTAAAAGGAGAGCTTGTGGACTGCTCCTTGTGGTTCTCTGATTTGCTTTAGAGTCAAGATTAGTGAGCTGAACTATCAAGCAACTCTGATTTATCCCAGGTTCCTGTATTTCTTCTGCCTGAGTTATGTGACCATGAGTAGGTCTTCATCTTCACTGGGCTTAGACTTTACCAACTGAATGAAGTCACCACCTCCCCGTCAAGTAGCATGTATTAAACAAAATTTTGAACTCCTGAGATTAAGGTTAATTGCTCCTGGGATTATATTTATTTATAATTAAGCAACTCTAAGAAGATCAGGTCTAAGTTGTTAATGAGGAGAAAAGCAAATGCTAAGGCAAAATATGTATACATTGTAATAATAAATGATTCCCTTAATTGTGCAGTGTAGACACTGGGATCCTAAAAAACCCAAAAAACATTTCCAATCATTCTTCATGGGAGAACAAAAAAACAAAACAAAACTCCACTTCTTAGCCTTCCAGGTTTTCCTCTATCATGGTACAAAAACCTACTCAGATACTGATAAGATAAATTCAGACCCTTCTGCAAAGACAAATATCTCTGAAGCAAAGCAAATCTACCATTTGCTTAGGAGAAATGGTTTTTAGATTCTTGTAAAAAGTAATTTGACCTCTTTTCCCTATCCCAAATCCCTTAGACTTTGAAAGGATAAAACACCAATCTGGAGCTCTTTCAAAGGATTTGCTACAGAATTGCTTGAATCTACCAATGAGCTGAATGGAGGATTTCTGTGTCTAAAAGGATTTTGCTCACTGTTTTATTTTTTACAAGTGTTGCAATATTCAAAAAAACACAATTTTTTTTTTTTTGCCAGTATGTCTAGAAAGGGTTAGAAAGAAGTAGGATCTATCTACTCAGATGTCTAAAATAGGAAAAAGAAAAAAATTTTTAAAAATTCCTTATTTGGATAGGTCCTGAGTTGAAATCACATTCATCTGTGAAAAGAAATGTTTAGGTCAGAAAGGTCTAACTATAGATCCTCACCTTGGACTTCACTGGTGAAAATTTCCAGGCACTATATGACAGACAGAACGCATGCCATGTAGTTGGCTAATTCTGGCACATATCCTACTTGGCTTGTGAAAATTTTATAAATATCTTTTAAACCTAAACCTTCTTGTTCTCTGAAACTGATTGTCTTAATCCGATTCCCAATACATTTTTAAACAAATAAACGTTTTCCCTGCAAGATCACATATTTAAGTATTTGTTGGCCATGGATAGATACAGGGAAACCAAGTATGGATGGGATTTAGCAGTTTGGTGACACAGCTGTGAATCTGAGCAGCTGCATAAGCTGTCTCTGTGGCTCTGCTCTGGCTGTGCTCCTCCAGCACATCCTCGAAACATCAACCTGAAGAGGGTGTGAACCCCAGCAGCTGCTCGATGGGTTTGAACCGCCACTCATCAGCCTCCAGCTCTTCTACTAAACCAGCTAGTTTTTCCATCCGAGCAACTTGCTGATCTGTAAAGAGTGAAGGAAATATTACTATACAACAGTGCACTTTCCATGACACTGTCACTAATCACCAACATGATGACTGGTTTAAAAATAATTTCTAGTTGGATTTTCCCCCTCAATGTTTCAGTAGTAATGGGGTCTCTTTATGTTGATCAGAAAACTTTTCTTTTTGGTACTGGGGATTGAACCCAGGGGTGGTTTACCACTGAGATCCATCCCCAGGTTCTTTTGTTTATTTTTTTAAATTCTGAGGCAGGATCTCAAAAAATTGCTGAGGCTGGACTCAAACTTGTGATGATCCTGCCTCTGCCTCCCAAGTGGCTGGGATTAAAGGGTGTACCACCAAGAAAACTTTAATCTTAAAAAATAGAAAAAAAAACAAGCCGGGCGTGACGGTGCATGCCTGTAATCCCAGCCACTTGGGAGGCTGAGGCAGGAGGATTGCCAGTTCACAGCCAGCTTCAGCAATGGCAAGCAACTCAGTGAGACCCTGGCTCTAAATAAGAAAATACAAAATAAGGCTGGGGATGTGGCTCAGTGGCATTTTTTCTTTTTGTTGATGTTATGCTAAGGTTCATACACTCTCACCCCGCTTCTTCATTCCACACCATAAGCATCCTCAGTGACCAATTACTTATTCTATTCATTTTCTAAAAAGGTTTTTTTTTTTTTTTTTTAATAATGTTAAAAGTTATTTTTCAATACAATTGTCATAGGCCTGGAGATAGAGCTCAGTGGTAGAGTGCTGGCCTAGCATGTCCTTGTGCCTGTGCCAGTGCCAGGTCCTGAGTTCTAGCCCTAGTACTATGAAAAACAAAACAAAACAAAAAAATCCCCTCAAAACCAATCATCACATTTTCAGTATATGCTCTTGTTTTGTAGTACTGAGGATGAACCTAGGGGTGTTTTTACCATTGAGCTATATATATTATCCCCAGACTTTTTTTTTTTTTTCAAAATATTTATTTATTCATGTATCTTTAATTTTAGGTGGACACATTATTTTGTTTTTATGTGGTGCTGAGGATCGAACCCAGTGTCTCATGCATGCTAGGCGAGCGCGCTACCACTGAGCCACAACCCTAGCCCTCCCCAGACCTTTTTGCTTTTACTTTTTTGAGTAAGGTTCATGCTAAGTTGCTGAGGCTGGCCTTAATCCTGTGATCCTCCTGTCTCAGCCTCTCAAGGAGCTGGGATTATCGGCAAGTGCCACTATGCTCAGCTGTGCCCTGTTCTTTGCTGTTTTGTGGTGCTAGGGATTGAACCGAAGACCTCATTCATATAGGCGAGTGCTCTGCCACTGAACTATATCCCTAACCCTGTTTTTTCTTTTTCTTTTGGTGTGGAACTAGGGATTGAACCTGGGTATGCTTTAACAATCAACTACATCTCAGTTCTTTTTATTTTTTTAATTTCAGCCAGGGTCTGATAAGTTTTGCCAAGGCTGGCCTGAAACTTCTGGTCTTTTTGCCTTCACCTCCTAAATAGCTGGGAATACAGGTACAGTGCTCCGCCTTGCTCTATTCTTTAAAAAAAAAAAAGGTACTCATCCTCTATGCCATAGTGACTCAGTTCTGGAGGGAGGGACAACTATGGCTTTCTCCCCTATGTAATGCTTTCCATGGAGAAATGGTCTGGTGGGGGAACAGTCCTTGATGTATAATGAAGGCTTGGTGAGGCATGATGGGGCAGAAATCATACTATATGGGTATCAGAGTCCAGGTAGACCATGAGGTACACTTAAATGCTTGAAGTTGAAGAGGGTAACCGTGGAGGACAACAGTAAAAGGTTTCAGAAAGGAAAGGGAAAGGCAACACAAGAGCAGCAGGAAGCACTGACTTCCCTAGAGAACCAACCCCTCTGACTTCAACTTCAAGTTTCAATGGGACATTCTGTCTGACAACTAAGACCTTGAAATGTTCTTTCATATAGAAAGTCCACTTAAATAATTTTTTCTGAGTTTGGGAGTTTTGTTACAGCATACTGACTTTTAAGAATCTGCCTCCCTCACCCTCCGTAAATGTATTCTTACAGTCAAATACATGATACTCACGTGCTTACCATGTTTCACCTGTTTGAGCGTGGATGCCACTTGATAACTGAAAACAGATTCACAAAGGAACCTCTCAGAGCCATCTACAAATAAAAAGAGGAAATGGTTTTAGTCTGCTCTAAGGGTTTTATGAATTTTGATGAACCAAGTAAACCTGTCCATTCTTTTCCTGTTTTTACATTCAAGGTCTAGTTTTCAGGGTTAACAAAGAGGATTTGTGTTTCATTTAGAACTAACACTGCTCTGTTATAAAAGCTACTTCTTCTATACCTAGGATACTAAAATGGTCCCTCTACTTGTTTAAGAGTTTAAAAATAGTATTTAAAAAAACAAAAACAAGAAACCTCAGTGTGATGTCCTAGTCAACATTTCCCTCCTCCCAACCTGAAAGTTTCTTAATGTTCTCTTCTGTACACCAGGCAAACACTGCAGCTGACACATTTGGCCGTGTGGCACCTGTGCTATCAAAATACAAAGTTTCACCCAAACTCCAAATCATTTTCATTCTAAAAAACAAAGCTGAGGGAAAAATCTTTGTTGATTTTTAATATGTCAAATTACATCAAAACACTGCTGGGAATTTTCATTCTGTAAACACAAATTGTAACCTTGATTTTCCAACTGAACAAGAACACTGTAATTTGGATGACGATAAGAGTGTGGTGCAAGTTCAGAACCTAGAACTGTACTGGTGCCAAGAACTGCCAATGAGGAGGTGGCTAACTTGGTCACCACAGTACTTGGAAGATGATTGGGAAACATTGGTAGTTCATGATATTCCTTGTGGCAAAGGCTGATTCAGCAAAACATATCCCCAGAGAAATATATTTCATGTAGGAAAAGTAGATTTTTTAAAGGGCAGTGGACACCACTTGGAGTATATATCTTCTTGCAAAAATTGTAAAACAAATGGAAAGAGAGGGCACTGCTGTCTTTTTCAATGCAGTTGTACATGCCAACACTACTAGATGTCAACCATTCACCCATCAATCATGAACTGGTTGTGCAGGTCAGGTATTAAGTGACAAGGAGAGAGGACGAACACATATTCTAGCCTTATGCTGAGTATCACACAGGCAAACCTTTGCAGAAGTCATGGTATCAAGGAGAAAAACTACAGATATTGTCTCCATTTAGTTTGAACACACAACTAGGAGGGCTTTCTTCCAATGCTATTTTCAAACTGATGCCAAAAAAAAGAAAGAAATGACAGTATAATTCTTAGGATGTACACATCTTCAGAGAGTTACATTCTGCAAATTCACATATTGTATAATATATAGGATACAATTCCTTCCCCTCCCTCTGCACGTCTCTGGTTGAATCTAAATCATTTGTGAGTAGATCGCCTAAATTAAACAGAGCAATTTTTTTTCATTTTAATTGACTGAATATTATGATGAATATCCTTATTTATTTATTTATCCTTATTTTTTTGGTGCTGGGGATTCATGCTTACTAAGCAGATGTTCTACCACGGAGCTACACTCCTGCCCTGGACTATCCAGTTTAAAGATCTAGGCATGCTGACGACATCACTGAGTTGATTTTTTCTTCTTCTCCTGAAGATAAGAGCACTTGGCGGCACATACAGTGCCTAACTATGAATTCCACTTTGGGAAGAAGAACTGTTGTGAACATTTGATATCAATGATGCAATTTGTTTTTAAAATTTTATTTTGTAGGGGCTGGGATTGTGGCTCAGCAGTAGAGTGCTCGCCTAGCACGGGCAGGACCTGGGTTCGATTCTCAGCACCACATTAAAAAAAAATAAAGGCATTGTGTTGTGTCCATCTACAAAAAAGATTCTCTCTCTCTCTCCTTTAAATTTTTTTTTTTTTGTAGTTGTAGATGGACAGAATGCCTTTGTCTATTTTTATGTGGTGCTGAGGATCAAACCCAGTGCCTCATACATGCTAGGCAAGTGCCCTGCTGTGGAGCTCTAGCTCCAGCCCTGCAATTTGTTTTTTTTTTTTAATTTTTTTTTAATATTTATTTTTCAGTTCTCAGCAGATACAACATCTTTGTTTGTATGTGGTGCTGAGGATCGAACCCGGGCCGCCCGCATGCCAGGTGAGTGCGCTACCGCTTGAGCCACATCCCCAGCCCTGCAATTTGTTTTTTAAAAAATAATTAATATTTTCTTTTTCTTCTGTGCCATCCTCTTTTTTTCCCCCTGGTGGCATTGGAGATTGAACCCAGGGGTGCTCTACACCAAGCTATATCCCTAGTCATAGCACTTTTAAAATTTCGAGACAGGGTCTTGCTAAACTGCACAGGCTGGCTTAGGAACTTGCAGTCCTCCAGCCTCAGCTTCCCAAGTCACTGGGATTACAGGTATGTACCAGTTACCAGTACACCCGGGTTCAAGTTTTATTTTAAAAAGAGCAAAGAAAGTAGAGCTTACTTCCCAGGTGATTTGATCTTGAACTTTAGGGTCTCTCACAAGGTAGTGGGAATTACCAGGTGTAAGAATCAAGCCAACATGTGTATAGAAGCTCTTGGAAGTGCTACCTCCCACTTGTATTTAATCATAGATGTTATTAGGATAAAATGCTTATGTTATAACATTTGCATATTTCCCTTGGTAATAAATTTCAAAGCAAAAAGATATAAGCTTATCTTTCAAAATGGTACTTACATATCACTCTGCCATATTAAATGCCTATGAAACACACTTTTGTTGATCTGCAGCTCTATATTAACCAAAGTCCACTGCTTCTTAGCCATATCCCATTAGATGTGCTATCTGTACCAATCTAAAGCTTGGAATTTCTCCAGAGAAGAGTCAGCCTGGGGCAATCTGTCTTCCATTTAGAAATTGTAATCAAATCCTTTGTAAAACACCAAGTAGCAAATACATCTGCTTTTCTCTTCATGGACAAGCAGAGGTTATAAATAGTGAGAAGTTCTGTAAATTACCCAAGTCTAATACTATATCACTAATTCCAATAAATATGATGCTAACAAATTCATTTAAAAGAATATTACCTCACCAGAAGGAAATTAGACAATGCTAGGTAGTTTATATTTCAGTGGCCAACAAAGTCACTAAAATATAGCCACTTCTGGACCGGAAGGCAGTCTTTAATTTGCTCACTAATAACTGGGTTAGGATAATATTAGCCACCCTGCTCATGCGGGGTGTATGTTATCAGAGAGCTGATGCTCCAAAAAAAGTTAATTTTCAAGGTTAACTACAGGTTATTTGAATTTATTATTATAGACTTGAGGGAAGGAAATGGCTCAACTTAAGAGTGTGAACAGGGACTGGGGATGTGGCTCAAGCGGTAGTGCACTTGCCTGGCATGCGTGCAGCCCGGGTTCGATCCTCAGCACCACATACCAACAAAGATGTTGTGTCCGCCAAAAACTGAAAAATAAATATTAAAATTCTCTCTCCTCTCTCCCTCTCTCTCTCTCTTTAAAAAAAAAAAAAAAAAAAAGAGTGTGAACAGTGGGCTGGAGTTGTGGCTCAGTGGTAGAGCGCTTGCTTGGCATGCCTGAGGCCCTCGGTTGAGCCTCGGCACCGCATATAAATAAATAAATAAATAAATAAAATAAAGGATCCATGACAACTAAAAAATATTTAAAAAAATTATAAACAGCATTTTTACCTCATCTCCTAACTACTTTTGTTCCTTACTCTCTACAGGCAATCTTTACTATTTTATTTTTCTACAATTTTAAGAAGAATGGTTTCTTGCATGAATGTTAGATTAACTGCAAAATAATATCATCTATAAACATGATAGAAATGCTTCAAAATCTAACATGCTAACCAGTCCACACTTAGAAGTACTATACTGGAAGATGTACAAATGTTATATGTACATAGCTTACGTTTTATGTAAGAGACTCAAGTATCTGCTATTTTAGAATCCACAGTGGTGGGGTGTATTAAGTGGGAGGTAGGGAGGAGGTGTGTTGTGAGTGTGGGAGTGGGGTGCCAGTGGTCCTTGAACAAATCTCCTGTGGATTCTGAGGGATGAATGTACTCTTTAATTTACTATGCTTGAATTGGCCCAGATAGTTTAGGGATTGCCCTTTGGTTTTTTGATTTTTTGTACCAGGAATTGAACCCAGGGGTGCTTAACCACTGAGCAATATCCCCAACCCTTTAAAAAACTTTTTGAGACAAGTTTGCTAAGTTGCTTAGGGCCTTGCTAAGTTGCTGGGGCTGGTTTTGACTTGTGATCTTCTTGCCTCAGCCTTCCTAGGCAATGGGATTACAGGCATGCACCACTGTGCCTGGTTCTGATATTTAAGTCTGTTTTAAAATGTAAACAGCTTTAAGATTAGTGGTGTATGGAATATTACGCAGCACTAAAAAATGACAAAATCATGGAATTTGCAGGGAAATGGATGGCATTAGAGCAGATTATGCTTAGTGAAGCTAGCCAATCCCTAAAAAACAAATACCAAATGTCTTCTTTGATATAATGAGAGCAACTAAGAACAGAGCAGGGAGGAAGAGCAGGAAGAAAAGATTAACATTAAACAGAGACATGAGATGGGAGGGAAAGGGAGAGAAAGGGGAAATTGCATGGAAATGAAGGGAGACCCTCATTGCTATACAAAATTACATATAAGAGGTTGTGAGGGGAATGGGAAAATAAACAAGGAGAGAAATGAATTACAGTAGATGGGGTAGAGAGAGAAGATGTGAGGGAAGGAGAGGGGGGATAGTAGGGGATAGGAAAGGTAGCAGAATACAACAGTTACTAATAGGGTATTATGTAAAATTGTGGATGTGTAACCGACGTGATTCTGTAATCTGCATTTGGGGTAAAATTGGGAGTTCATAACCCACTTCAATCTAATGTATGAAATATGATATGTCAAGAGCTTTGTAATGTTGTGAACAACCAATAAAAAAAAATAAAAAATAAAAAAAAAAAGAAAAAGAAAGAAAAAAAAGATTAGTGGTGTAATGTAAAAGCTAAGAAGAACTACAACTGCATTGTGAGTTTGGACTAAATTAAAAGAACCCAACACAAGCTGGGCATGGTGGCACATACCTATAATTCCAGCAACTCAGGAGGCTGAAATAGGATTGCAAGTTTGAGGCCAGCCTCGGTAACTAAGTGAGGCCCTAAACAACTTAGTGAGACCCTCCTTGTCTCAAAGTACAAAACAAAAGTGCTGGGGGTATACCTGCTCACTGGTCAAGCCTCTGAGTTCAATCGCCTTAATCCAAAAACAAACAAACAAACAAACATACAAAGAAAGAAAACAAAACCCAACATATTCCTCTACAAAGCAGTAAGAATGGATAGATCTATAACTTGTTAAAATAACATTCAGACTAAGCTCAGCAGCTTTTCTTCTTTAATGTTTCTACATAATCTGGTGCATGCTGATAGCTTTGAAACTATGGAGCTACCTCCAGTATTAAAATTCCTCTTGTAGGTAGAATTTAAATGACTTTAAGATGATCTTAAGAGTGCTATTTTTAAGCACTGATTTATCTTCTACTTTTATAAAACTGATTTAGCAACTTAAGAGCCTTCAACTTTTTGTTTTGTGAGAAATTCCCTGAATACCACATCTCAGGCCCCTCCAATCAGACTGGTGATACTACATTGAGTATTTCTTTTTGTGGTGGTCCTGAGGATTAAATCCAGGGCTTTGCATATGCTAAGCCAGCCCTCTACCACTTAGTCACATCCCCAGCTCTTCCTATTTCATTTGAGATGGAGTCTTGCTAAATTGTTCAGACTGACCTTGAACTTGTGATCCTCCTGCCTCAGCCCCTGAGTAGCAAGGATTACAGGTGCTCAGGTCCTAACATAACACAAATAAAGATGATGAAAAGGCAAGAGCCTAAGTACACACATCTCACAATATGCGTGGCCTGGTCAGGTCACTTATTTCACTACTGATCAGAACCTCAACAAGTCTAGATAGCCTAATGCTCCTGGAGTCTTCCCATATTTTCCTGTCATAAATGATGCTTCTGTTTGCTCTGACTTGCTAGGGATATAGCTCAGCAGTAGAGTGCCTTCCTGGCATGTGCAAAGCCTCTTCCCCAGCACCATAAAAAAAAAAAAAAAAAAGAATCAGCTATAGTGTTTGGCCTGGTTTAATCCAAAACTTTGCTTTTAATCACTTCTGATATAAATGAATAAAGAACCCCCTTCAAACTGGCTCCTGACTATAGTGTGTTTCAGAGACATTCCAAGGTTAACTTAAAATACATTTATATAAATATGCAAGATTTAGAGCAAAAAAGATCAACATATAATTAAGCACCAAATTGCTTGACTCAAGTAGATTTTGAGTCCTTAGTAGGTTCTTTGCCAATGTTTTTTAAAATATGGTGAGAAGATTACCTTCAAGGAAAGGCTCTAAATATTGGTCAAAAATGTGCTAGACTAATTCTGAATCTCTAAAATTGGCCTAGCAAAGTGCATTTTAAATAAGCTCCATGGGGAAATTTTAAGTTCCCTATAAAGAATTATTAGTCTTGATCCTAAAGTGATGGAAATCTCAAGAATTCCAGTTACCCATGCTGATTCATGATTACTGTGTCCTTATCTTGACAAGCCAGTTTGCAAATGTGAGCTGAATAAGATGGAGGATGACTGCACGCAAATCTGTCTCTGGTTGTAGAAAAACTACACTGCAGTATCCTACAGTGGGACAGGGAAGCCATCTTCACCTAAGAGTAGTGTGTCAGTTTTTATTTTGTCTCAGAACCTCTCTGGTATGGCTAATCTATCTGTAGATTAATTACACTAGGGAAAAAAATATACCTAACTTACTAACAATAGGGAAGAGGACAGGGGCCAAGATAAAGCAAACTGGAGCGGGAGATTGAGAATTCCTGGCTTCCCTGCTGACTCTGCCTCTAACAGGACCAAATCATTTAATGTTTTTGGATGTAAAGAACTCTAGATGACCTCCCTGCTTTCCAAAGTCCTTTTCAGCATCAAATTCTGATTCTGGAACAAGATTTGTGTTGGAAGATATTACTTAGGGATGTGGACAAGAGATGAAATGTGGAGCTGAAATCAGGGCAAATTCATTTCTAATCCACTTAATAGCTTCTTTCCAATTAATATTCATTGCAGGTCTGAATCCAGTTATTCAGCAAAAAGCAGCATGAGATCACCTTCTAACACCTCTCCAGCTCCTTTGGGGTAGGTGAAAAGGGTTTTCCGTGGTGGGGCAAGGTCTGAGACACTGAAACCTGATGCAGTAACAGAACTTCCACTGACCCCACCAGCTGAGGAGGAGGATGAAGAGGCTGCCATTTCCTCTAGTAGAATTTTCACTTCACTGAAGAGAAAGAAAAACAGCAATTGGCAAATTTATGGATGTGAGACTGACAACATTTCACTCTAACTGCCACAAGGACCAGCATATAATTTTGTAAAGAATTAGCTCTCCTTTTTTTCTATCCTCTTTACTTCCAACAACCTTTTATTGAAACCTCAGACCAAAATTTCATGCAGGTTTTGAAGTAAAAACATGCTTTAGAATATTCTGTCTACTAAAACAATTAGTTTCTATCATTAGCAAACTATTTATGTCATTTGAGATTGACTGAAGGTAATTTATAAATTAAGAAGGGGTAGTATGGTAGTGCCAAGGCAAAAATGTGACTGAGCAAATAAATTATGAGGTTAAAATAATCATCTTCCATAGGACAGTTTGTCTTGGATACATCCTGACCAAGCCACACCAAGAAATTCACTCATAAAATTTTCCAAATAAGATTCCAGAAAACACTGTGTTCTGTTCCCAGGGAAGGGAAATTGGTTAGGAAATACACATTGGCACTTTCATCAAAATTAAAAAAAAAAAAAAAAAAATCTTTTAATCCAAATGTAATACCTGAATTTATCACTTGGTGGCGTCCCAAAACTGGAACAAAATAACTCAGAAAATGATCCTGGAAATCCTGGCCCTTATGACCATAGCAGCTGTGTATTTTAATCCTATGTCTCATCAGAAAATTCAAATGAAGCCAGGTGTGGTTTCACACACCTGTGATCCTAGCTAGTCAGAAGGCTGATCCCAAGTTCAAGGCCAGCATGGGCAACCTGGCAAGACCCTGTCTCAAAATAAAATAAAAAGGGTTGGGGGAGATTGCTCGTGACTGAAGTACTCATGTGTGAAGTCCTGAGTTCAATCCCCAGCTTCCACTCCCCCTCCATCCAAATGTAAATGGGGTACTTTGTACTGAATACATGGCTTCCTAAAAATGTTCAAAATGAGGGCTGGGGTTGTGGCTCAGTGGTAGAGCACTTACTGGGTTCGATTCTCAGCACTACATACAAATAAATAAAAATAAAGGTCCATCGACAACTAAAAACAACAAATATTCAAAACAAGAACTCTTTGCACAGAAGCTTGTGCCATTTTAACAAAGATTCTAAAGTGTATTCTTTCTATTTATTTATTTTGTGATACTGGTGATTGACCTTAAAGTGTATACTTTCTAAAAAAGATCTAGCACCATGCTAATAGAAATTTCTGCTGTAATGGAAATGTTCTAATGTTCTATTGCTGCACTGTTCTGTGTGGTAGCCACTAGCCTCACATGTTGTGGGTATAAATTAAATGTGGCTGAAAATTATATTTTCAATGTTAACTAAAATTTCAACATAGCCACAGGCTAGTGGCGTTCTAGTATTTAATTAAAAAATGATTTTAGCCAGGTGTGGTGGTATGTGCCTGTAGTCCCAGCTACTCTGAGACCAGGGAATTGAGAGTTCCAGGCCAGCCTGGAAGACCTTATGTAGCAAGACCTTATTTCAAAAAAAGGAAAAAAAAAAAAAGATTAATAACAATGAAAATTAAAATAATGGGGGGGATCCTAGCTCAAAAATAAAAACAAACAACAAAAGAAAACAACAACAACAAAAAACAACAAAAATTCACAAACAACTCGGCTATTGGTGGACTTTCTTTTTAAATGTTAATTTTTTAGTTACAGTTGGACATAATATCTTACATCCTGATGAGCCACAACCCCAGCCCGATTTTTTTTTTTTTGAGTAGTTGGGATTGAACCCAGGGCTTTACACATGCTAGGCAAGTATCTACCACTGAGTTACACCTTAACCCTTTTTAAGATTTATTTTGTGACAGGCTCTTGCTAAGTTGCCCAGGCTGGTCTTGAACTTGAAATATTCTTAATGTGGCCTCCTGAGTAGCTAAGACTACAGGAATGCACCACAGTGTATGGCATGGTTAATTTTACGTTATGTGAACTTTAGCCCAATTAAAAAAAAAAAAAGACTCAAAAAAGATTTAAAACATGGATTTTCCTATGCAATGGTCAGAGAGAATTTTAGTTGAAAGCCAGGGGGAAGCAACTCAGTAACAGATCAGTAATAGACTGCTTGCCTAACATGTACAGGCCCTGAGTTCAAGCCGCAGTATGTGGGGGGGGGGGAGAATTTTAGTTGAATATTTTTTCATTGACTTTTTTTCTTACTAGTTATAAAAAGAATGGGATTGTAGCTCAGTAATCAAGTGCATGTTTAGAAAGCTTGAAGCTCCTGGGTTCAAACCTCAGCACTTACAATAGAAAAAAAATGAGAGAATGCTATGTTGATATAAATCCTATCTGTACAAAACATCCAGCTTCCTAATAAGGAAAACAATATACTCTATCTGATATATTGGCTGTTTCCTTAATTTTATGATGATGATTTAAGGCTGTCAGAGAAGCAAAGCTTAGTTTCTAAGTGTATGTCTATAATACTGATTCATGCTGCAGGAGAATATGAGAATAGTAAGGCTACTGCTATAATTAGACTGTCAGCTTATTAAAATGTAAACTGATTAATGATTTTTTATTTTTAATATTGTTACTAGATTACTTTTAAATTTTTTTCTGTGCTTTGATAATTTTTCACATTCACATCCATAAAGCCAACAACTTTCCAAGTTAGATACATATCCAATCCTTTGGACCATAATGGGTCAAAATATAGCTTAATAAATTTTTAAATGCTTTTTGAAAAGAACTTAAGCAGTAATGGACCAATCCAAATCTCTAAATGGATTCCTGGAGGGATTCAAATAAAGCATAAAGTCAACTTAGCCACCTTTTGGAGAGTAGCTTAGTCTTTGTTTCCTATCTGTTCAGAGTAGAACCCACTGTGAACTGTTTATATATCTCACCTAAGATTTAAAATTGTAAATCTTTTTCCTCCCCTGATAAATGCTCTGTTCAGTTGAAAACCTTTATACTTTATATTTTGAGATCAGCTGCTCAGCAGAGTACCTAAGCAACTGCCAGAGTGAGGCCAGCTTCAAAAGCTAGACACAGTGTGACTTCTAAACTGAATATAATCAAAGGGACTTCCTCTTTATCCTTTTTTATTTCAGTTTCTTAGAACTACTATCATTTCATATACAAGAGTGTCAGGGTTGAAAAATGAGGCATAGAATTAGCACAAGGCTAACTTTAAATAAGCAGTTTTCTGCTGAGGTGGAAAGAAACACCTAAGCAATTTCTAGTTCTAAAGATATAGTTTGTGTGTGTGTGTGAGAGAGAGAGAGCTCTTGGTGCCTGCTGGAGATTGCAGGACCCCATGCATACTAGGCAAGTGTTCTACCACTGACATGCATCCCCAGTCCTAAGTAAAATTTTGTTTTTGGTGCTGGGGATGAACTTACAGACCTGCATATTCTAAACATATTTTCTACCACTGGGTTACATCCTCAGTTCCTAGGTTGTTTTGAAGGCCATCAGCAAGTCATAAATGGAAGTAAAACTAACAATAAACCCTGGATTATAACTGCTCTCTAAGGGCAGGCATTAACTAATCTGTCTGAATCAAGCATAATATGTGGCCTAATAAGTGGTTGCTCATTTAAGTAAACATTTGGGGAATGAATTAAATATTTCACAGGAAACAGATTCCTTAAAGGTCATCTAATCCAATTTCCTCTTTTTATAGCTGATACAATGAAACACAGAGACATTGCAGCTTATCTGCTATAACATTTTGAAGCAACAGCTTTTTAATATATCATGTTTCATGTGGAAAGCAAACTTAGCATAGTGGTTAAGAATTGACCATGATGCCACTCTTGTCTTTTTTTTCTCTTTTGTAGTACTGGGGATTGAACCCAGGGCTTCATGCATGCTAGGCAAGCACTTTCTCACTGAGTTACATCCCAATCTCATGTCTTGGTTTTGCTAAGTATTTGCAAGACTCTGGACAAATCACTTAAAAAAATTTTTTTTTTAATTTCTCAGTTGTTTCAATAGTAGTGTGGAACAATAATCGTATAGAGATGTTGAAATTAATAATATGTAAAGCAACTGGAATGGTTTCAGGCTTAGTAAACAAATAAATATTAGCTATCAAAAAATTATTAATAGATATTTGCTCTTGAATCTTTTTTTTTTTTTTTGATACTGGGGATTGAACCCAGGGGCACTCAACCAATAAACTACATCCCATCTTTCCTTATATTTTATTTAGAGACAGGGTTTTGCTAAATTTCTTAGGGCCTTGTTAAGTTGCTGAGACTGTCTTTGTAGTCTCAATTCTTCTGCCTCAGACTCCAGAGCTGCTGGGTTTCTACTCCTGGATAATTTTTTTTCCTATTTAGTTACCAGTTGTTCATACTGTATATTATGTACCAACATATTTATGGGAAAAGTTTTATTCCTCTCCATCTGATATAGACATAGCTAGATCAGAAAGAGGGACAACGTCTTCTATTATGCATATGACATACTTCACTATTGAGTTAAACCCCCAGTCCTTTTATTTTAAGATTCATGATCTTAGGAAGAAGTCTGTGATTTGGAAACGAGGTAAAGAACTGACTTTTTAACCTCAAGACCTGGTACAGAATCTCTATCATTGCGTTTTCTGAATGAATGATTTATAAATAACAGTAATGATTTACAAATTACAGAACAAGGGCCAGAAGTTCAGCAAACATTATGCAGGGGGCACAGAAGCTTGGTGTCATGAGGGCTGGCCCATTATGTTTTCTTTTTGTGCAGATATATTTACTCTATCTTCCACTTGGCTGCTAGGCCCACAAAGGGTGTTCTGTAAGACTTTGCTGAATAAATTTTGATGACGAAGTATCCTGGGACTTGGCCCTATCCCGGAAGCTGGGGCTACTAGCAGTATAAATCCTCAAAGGAAAGCAATGACATTTTGGGAGACACAGTACAGCATGATTAAACATTCACTTTTAGGTAAGACTAGGATGACCTGAAGTTCATAAACTACGTTTTCTTGCAGAAATATGCCTATTTTCTTAAAAAAGATCCTTTCTTAAAAAAAATCTCATCAATAGGTGAAAAAAGTTCCTGTTGTAATTCAAAGGCAAATTACGACAATCGTCAAATTCATCAACAAAACCTTCTACTGTATTCCATTTAAAACAGTTTAATTACGATACAAACCAAATAAATGCTACAGCGATAGCTGGGTGGAGTGGAGAGGCGGTGGAAAGGGGAGGGGTCAGAACTTCAGCGGTTCCCAAGCTAACTGCAAGTCAAGCTTCCAGTCCAGCTGAGTCCCCAAGAAGCAACGCCAAGCGACTGCCTCACTACGCAGGCGCCACTATTCGGGGCGCATGCGTATCTCGTTCTCGGCCTGGGAGAAATTTCCTTTTCCACGCCCGCTGCGGCAGTCTCCTGCCTCCTCCCATCTTCTCCATTTTTCTAGTCCGTGCAGGTAGGAACCAAGTTAACTCCCTTCCCCTCAAGCTCCCGAAGGCCCTCGAACCTTCGGCTACTTACCTCTGCGGCCTTAGCACTTTCCCCTTCAACCCCGCCCCCCAGGCCAGCCAGAAAGGCCGCGCTCACAACGACGAGACGGCGGCGTGCTCGCGCCCACGCAGAGGGAGCCCGGGGCGGCGTGCGCGCACCCGCTCGGCAGTGGGCGTGGCCGGGGCGGAGAGAAGCCGAGAACAAGCTTCCTGAGATCACTTCCGGGTCTTTAACCCGAGCACTAATTTCTTCCTTCGGTTTGGCACGCTTGTTCTTTTTTGGTTTCTTTTTATGATTCTGGCCTTCAGCTCCCCCCAACGGTATTGCAGAAGGATCATGCTTCCCTCTTCCTCTCCAAACCTCCATTTCCCCTCTTTCTTCTAAGCAGTTTCGTAGCCCAAGGCTGTACAGGAAAAGTAGATGCCAAGTTTGCAGTCTCACCTGTCTCTTCCTCCAGAGCTCAGGGTCTGAGGGGCCGACCTCTGTGGAGAACTCATTGTGTGTGTGTTGTGTGGAGGAGAGGCCTAGGGGAATACAGAACTAGGGTGTAATATCAGTAGACTATTGCTACTTATGTACCCTCCTCCGCCATCCAATTAGATTTGCTTTATGTGTTATTTCTCAAGACAAAACTTCTGCTTGTCTCTGTAAACAGACTGCCAGGTAAAGAGACTTGCTGAGGGTTGGGCTGAGCATTATTGTGTTTAATAAGGATTATGAATATTCTTTGGAACTCTTGAAGTATTTGGGGCTTCAAGACTATCCCAACTAAATGGCGGGGGCGGGGGTGGGGTGGGGGTAGGGAGATCATCCAAGCTATATGTGATAGGGACACTGTTTGAACTTCACCATAGCTAGTTCATAAGGGACCTCTGTTTCTGAAATTATTATTATTTTTTTTCTGGTGTTGGGGATGGAACCCATGGCCTCTGGCATGCTAGGTAAAGTAAATATTATACCACTAAATTATTCCCATCCCTTTCTAAATCATTGATTTATTAAGTGGTGACTAAAAGCTTGGCTTCTTGGTAGGCTATGTACCATTTGTTGGATGGTGGCCTATAGAAATTGGATTCCTTTCCTTAGCAATGTGTTGATCTGAGAAACACATTGGTTAAGCTTTTATTTATTTATTTTTTTTCTGTACTGGGGATTGAATCCAGGGACATTTTATAACTGAGCTACATCCCCAGTTCTTTTTATTTTTTATTTTGGAAAAGGGTCTCCCTAAGTTGCTGAGGGTCTTGCTGAATTGCTGAGGCTGGCCTTTACTTGCTATTCTCTTGCCTCAGCCTCCCAAGTTTCTAGGATTGTGGGTATACACCACCCTGCCTGCTGGTTAAGTTATATTTTGACAAGCATAGTTATATATTTCTAGTACCTTAAAAGTTCTTAGCCCTTCTTCCATAGAGAAGTATGTTAAATATCCTTCATTCTCTTATTTACAATATTCAAATGATTAGATAAAAGTAAAAGGTTGTAATTTACTCATTTAAAGTAATGAAGAGACCTCTCTCTTTCAAAGTCATGGGCACAGCTGGTTATGGTGATGCATACCTGTAATCCCATGAACTCAGGAGATAGAGGTTGGAGGATTGCAAGTTCTAGGCCTGCCAGGGCAACTTAGTGAGTCCCTCTCTCAAAAATCAATCAAAGTCATGAGCAGGCTGTATTTAAAGGCCTTTTAATAACTTTTGGGGTGAGAATACACACATCACCTTGCTGTCTAGAATGAGACATGAATGAAATGAAATAGTGTGGAAAATACAATTGACTTTTTGTTGGAGAAATCAAATGGAAATCAGTATTTCTTTTGCTTAGGATGTATTGTGAACTAATGCCCAATTATATCCTTTTAAGCCTATATAATGATCCATTAAATAGAGATAGGATTTTTATTTCTAAAAAAAGATAAGATGGTAATTTATTTTTCAGGATTTCGATAGAATATTATTTGGAGAAGGTGTCATGGAAGTTCTGCGCCCACAGCTTATAACAATTGATGGACGAAATTACAGGAAGAACCCTATCCAAGAGAAGACTTACCAACATGAGGAAGATGACGAAGATTTCTATCAAGGTAGTTATTCTTAAATCAGGTTAGAAGTAAAATGTATTGAGCTGTGGATGTTGCTCAGTGGTAGAGAGCTTGCCTAAGTTCCATCCCCAGCACCACAAAAAATAAGTTCAGGAACAAAGGTTTATTGTGGGCTTGCTATGGTTAAGTTCAACTGGTGTTCCTACCATGCACATGCATGCACACACACACACACCAAAAAAAAAAAAAAAGGAATTCTCTCTTGTAGGAGCAATTCTTTTTTTTTTTTTTTTTTTTGTAATCTGTAGTTGGACATAATACCTTCAATTTTTTTTTTTAATATGGTGCTGAGGATCGAACCCAGGGCCTTGCATGAGCTAGGCGAGTGCTCCACCGCTGAGCCACAACCCCAGCCCATGAGGCATTCTTGTTGTAGTTCATAAGTCATATTTAATCTTTGTACAGAGACTTAAATGTTACAAAGGATAATTATAGAAAATATTAACCACTAATATTCTGTGACAAAATTAAATTCCTTTTTCTGTGAAGTAATACATATTATCAAAATAAAGGAACATACATAAAGGATTAGTCCAATGACCAATAATGTTAGCTGTTAATATTTTATTATTTTTCTTTTTTGTAGCCACAGATTGGCCATTCCAAAGTTACAACTAACTTTATTTTAATATAGGTAGTTTTAAGAAATAAACAGTTTAGATGGGTTATAAATATTTTCAGGGTGTTTACCTTGGGCTTGGATTTAATGCATAAACAGGGCCTTTGCAAGTGCTTTGTGACTTTTCCCTTTTGGATTATGAGCCTTTCCATTGGACCCTAAGTCTCAGGGTCACTGTGCTCTCTCATCCTCTCCATTGTCCCTTGTCATCCTTGAGGCCCTCATCTCCTTTATCCCTCCTCTTTTCCCTGTGTCTGGGCTGAATGGAGTAAGTTCTCCCAGTGTCTCATTCACTGAAGTAGTCTGTGTCTTAATACTAAAAGTCACTGAATTGTGTATTTATTTTGCAGTTCTGGTAATTGAACTCAGGTATGCTAGTCAAGTGCCCTACCATTGAACTACATCCTCAGCCATTTTAATTTTATTTTGAGCCAGGGTCGTCTTAAGTTGCCAAGGGTGATCTCAAACTTGTGAGACCTCAGTCTCCCAAGTAGCTGGGATTACAGGTATGTTCCACTGTGCTCAACTGAATTGTATACTTTAAAGAGTGAATTTTATATGAATTATAAATAGTACAAAAATTGATTATTGTGTCTGAGCTTTCTTTTTCTTTCTTCTTCTTCTTTTTTTTTTTTTTTTTTTTTTTGGTACTGGAAATCAAACCCAGGGCCTTGCACTTGCTAGGCAAGCACTGTACCATTTAGCTATATTCCCAGCCTTTGTGTCTTAGCTTTTTAAGAGAAAATGGTTAAATACTGGTATATGTATGTATATGTATAAGGTTCCAAGACTGACAGATATAAAATAGTCTTTTATTAAAAAGCATTTTTATTTCTTATGAGAGCAGGTCAGGAAGACCATCAGAGCAGTGTTCTGTAATGTAATGTATTGGGATATTCTTAATGCCTGTGCTTTATGTTTTTAAAATCCTGAGAGAGATTGACAGCTGGGGAGAAGCAGCAACAGCATTTCTGAAGAGTTGTTGTGGTTTCTGTGCAGATGCCATGGAGTATGCTGATGAGCCCTGTGATGCCTATGAGGTGGAGCAGACCCCGCAAGGATTCCGGTCAACCGTGAGTGCTCCCAGCCTGCTCTACAAGTGAGTGAATGAAGTCCCTAGCTGATCACAGGGTGGCATTTCCAGGAAGCTCAGCAGGAAGGTGACTCTCATCTTCCACACTTAAAACCATGTTTGCTTAATGATAAAATAGTATTTTATGTCCTAAAACGTCAAAGGCCTGATTATAGATTAATCTTATCATACCATGTATATTGCCGCTTCCTGTTGATTTTATCTCTTAAATATCCTTTGAATTTACCACTTATCATTGTCTTCATTGCTACCCTTCTGCCTTTCCTGTGGATTTCTTAAAATAACCCATTTTGGTTTTTACACATTGGTTCTTGCTCTTCCAAGTCAGTTTTTCACATTGAGGGTTGAATGATCATTTTAAAAGACAGGATCATTTTACCACCTCTGCTTAAAATCCATCAGTGGTTTTCCATTGAAGATGGAATTAGAGTAGTGGCCAAAATCTTGAGCATGACTTAAGAGACTCTTATTTTTTAGTCTCAATTCATACCACTCTTTCCCTGTCTTTGGCTTATACCCATCTGGTTTTCTTCAGTTCTCCTTTCTACCTTAGAACTTTTGAATATGCTGTTCCTTTTGCCTTAGAAAGTTTCCTTTTTCTCACCCAGTTATATTTCCTCAGAGAAGTCATCCCTGTCATCCACATTGATTTCTCTACTGTTTTCATAACAATTCTACTTTTCCTTTATAGCATTTATCACAATCTGTGTTTGCATTTATTTGTGTGCTATGTGATGTCTCCTTCACTAAGTGGGAAGCTTCTTGAGGGAAAGAACATATCTGATCAATTAACTCCTAATGTTTGTGAAATGACTGCTATGCTTTTTCCAGGGTTTTCTTTTTTTCCTTGTTTTTTTTTGTGCTGGGGATTGAACCCAGGACCTTGTGCATGCGAGGCAAGCACTCTACTAGCTGAGCTATATCGCCAGCCCCTTCTTTTTTTCCTTTTTGTAGTCCAGGTAATCTTGAACACAGGGCTTTGTGAATGCCAGGCAAGCACTCTACCACAGAGCTGCACCTGCCGCCTGGGATCATCTTTATAAATTGCTTGGAAGTTTGTGATCACTGCAGTCTGTGCTTGCTTGCATGCATGTTTGCCCATATTCTGTTCCATATTAACCACTAGTAGAATATTGTCAATTTGGACTTGCAGTTATGGCTCAGTGGTAGAGCACTTGCCTAGCATGTGCGAGGCACTGCATTTGATCCTCGGTACCACATATAAAAATGAATAAATAAAATAAGGTATTAAAAATGTATCTGTCTAAAAAAACAGAATATTGTCAACTCACGTGGCTGACTTTTGGTCTTATACCTTTGAACATAAACTGGTCTAGGACATACATAAGTTATTATTGTGTTTTCTGTGTTATACCAAATGAAGTAGATCTCTTCTGGGAGGAGATCTACAAATGTGGACTCATACACTTAATTGCCAACCAGCATAGTTTCATTTTCATCAACCTTGAGAGCATTTTGAAATATCTATTTAGGATTAAATTCTAGAATGTGGCCAATAGGAAACCAAAACTAACTCCAACTCCTCCCTTTCTTTTCAGGCTATGCTAACATTTTTCCCTAAGAAACATGATTTTACAAAATTGTAACTGAGTTTCCTGACAAAATCAGTGTCATGTGTCTTAATGTATATGTGTCCTACCTCTAAGATGTATAAAAATTCCTTAGAAATCTGATTCTAACTTGATCTTTTGAATCCATATATTCTAAGTCCTCATTATATACTAGATGACTTGCCTATTAGGTCAGATGTTGGCTCTGCTAAATCCTTTTTTTTTTTTGGCGGGGGTTACTGGGGATTAAACTCAGGGGCACTCAACCATTGAGCCACATCCCCAGCCCTATTTTGTATTTAATTTAGAGACAGGGTCTCACTGAGTTGCTTAATGCCTTGTTGCTGAGGCTGGTTTTGAACTCGTGATCTACCTGTCTCAGCTTCCTGAGCCACTGGGATCATAGGTGCCACTCTGCCCAGCTTATTTATTTATTTTTTTAAGGTAGTGCTGAGAGATAGAACCCAGTGCCTCACATGTGCTAGGTGAGCGCTCTACCACTGAGCCACAAACCCAGCCCTCTAAAGCCTCTGACTTCAACTGCTTCCTTTTTTAAGCTAGTGAAGTCTAAACTACTATTAACAGTTCCAGCCAACTACAGTTTATAATAGGCTTGTCTGCTAGCCATATATCAACAAACAGGAGCTTGTTTAAAGAAATTTCAATCCTCTTTTTAAGCTTCTTCATTGTTTTTTTTTTTTTTTTTTTTTTTTTTTGTGTGTGTGTGTGTGTGAGTGTGATGCTGGGGATTGAACCCAGGGCCTTGTACATGCTAGATGAGTTCCCCACTGAGCTACATCCACAACCTAATGTCTTATTTGGAAAAAAAAAACCAAAAAAACAAAAACAAAAAATAATAAAACCAGAGTAGGGAAGGGAAGGGAATAGGAAGGAAGAAAAATGAATTGGGTATAACTTTCTTGTGTTCATATATGAATACATGACCAGTGAATCTCCACATCGAGTACCAAGAATGGGAAGTTATACTCCATGTATGTATGATACATCAAAATACATTTACATTGTCATGTAAACCTAAAAAGAACAAATGAAAAAATTAAAAAACAGAGTAGATCTTAATGGAAATAATTAGAGTTGGTTATCCCATGTAAAAACTAATGAGAAAATGTTGTAGCCTAGCATGTATGAGGCCCCAGGTTCAACACCCTCTACTACCAGGATATGTCACCCATAGTATTGGTTGTATAATGAAATCATATGAAATCTTAGAAGTTGAAATAAGTTGTTAACTGGGAGCTCTTTACCTTAATCTTATGGTCCTGGGGAATGGTCTCTTAGTACTTCATAGATTCTGAAACTTCTCTCCTGAGATCCATGGTCTCATTCACTTTGACACATCTAATTACTATGGGCTCCAGAAGATAACCCTAGGTTGTCAGACTTATTTATATAAAGAGGCTAGACAAGTAAGTAAATGAATCAGTAAGTGATAGAGGTGGGGTAAATGAAAGATCGTAGGGAATGGTGGGGATTATGATAGCTTGTATCTCCTGTTTAGGGGGGTGTTCGAGAATTGGCCATTGTTGCCATGAGTTGTCATATCTTCTAGTTTTTCTCAAGAACTTGCAAATATGAAATGTCCTAAATAAAACATGTCTATATGATGAATTTAGCTTGAGGGTCATGTGTTTACTCTTTGTGCTTTTGAATCTATCCTGAATGGTGAACCTTGTTTTTGTTAAGCTTATTACTCTTATTTAATAAATCAAGAATAATTCCCTTAGGACAAACTCATAATATGGTTAATTTGTTCTCCAAAATGGACAAGATTCTACTCCCTCAAATTGTAGACCCGTTGAGTGCTGAAAGTGCCCTTTGAGACTATGCCAGAATTCTTTTCATTGTGCCGCACACCCAGATTTTGAATCTAATTTCCAGCAAACAAGGGTTGGGCATGGTTATTGTACCTATACCTTGTATTAGCGATAGCATCATTTTGTTAGTGAGTGTAATGTAGCATATTCTATGAAGCTAGATGACTCATAATAAAAAATTGAGCTTTTACTGAAGGATTTTTCTTTAAGAGTATCTTTAGTCACACAGTTTAAAACAGCTAGGATTACTTATTTTGGAACATTTTGATTTAATTTGCCTCTATTGAATTTTTTTTTTTAATTACAGGCATATAGTTGGAAAGAGAGGGGACACTAGGAAGAAAATAGAAATGGAGACCAAAACTTCTATTAGCATCCCTAAACCTGGACAAGAGGGAGAAATTGGTAAGGCTCAGTATGTGTGTTATGATTGTAATCACTTTTGCACCTGAATGGAGTAATGTAATTGAACTGAGTTGTTCAGGGACTTTATTCTCTAGGATCCAGTAGCAATTGGCCTTTTTATGATAGATCAGTATCAGTCTTCCAAATGAGAAAAGATATAGACATCCTTCTTTAGATTTAATACCAGGGCCTTGACTTTATACTTGACCATGCGCTGATAAACTGAAGCTTCCACATGTCCTTGTGCATTAGATTTCTTTTATGCTGTGGTAACTTGAAATGGAATTTGTGAATTGTTTCAAGTTAGAGCTACAGAAAAACCAGTGAGATAAGAGAATATGAAACAAAGTTCAACCCTTTTTAAAAAAAAATATATTAGTTGTAGATGGACATAATACCATTCTTGTATTTCCTTATTTTTAATGAGCTGAGGATCGAATTCAGTGTCTCAAACATGAGAGGCAAACGCACTACCACTGAACTACAACCCCAGCCCAGTTCAACCCTTTTAATATGTGTTCTCTATAAAGGTTTTTAATCTTGTTTTGTAGACTAGGAAGGAAATCATAAGAGTAATGATGAAAATAACATAATCTGTTTCAAATATTGCTCAGATGAGCAAAAACAGTTCATTGATATAAATCAAGCCATAAAATGTCTGTACTAAGTGTTATTGTGAAATTAAAGGCATAAACTTTTGTTTTCAGTGGCTTTGAGAGGCACTGTAGAGACAACATATTAAAAAACTCATTCTAAAATGACAGGGTTTTTTCAGAATTAAAAAGGGCAGTAGCCTCCAATAGTCTATTTTCTTTCTTTTTTTTTTTGAGATGGGGTCTTGCTGTGTTGCCCAGGCTAGTCTAAACTCCCTGTGCTCTGATGATGCCCCTGGCTCAGCCAGTCTCCCCAGTGCTGGGACTGTAGGTACATGCCCCCATACCCAGCTACTAGTAATCCATTTTCCATAAACACTCAAGAGATTGTATTACATTTTGGCAGAAAAAAATTACGAATATTCTTTTCATTTTGTGCTGTGTAAGAATAATTATCTTGACAGATAACTAGCAGTTGCCTTTAGAGTAATGTTGTTCAAAAGAATTTTCTTCAATGATAGAATGTTCTATGTCTACACTGTACAAAAAGGAGCCCTTGGCATGTGACTATGAGTACTTGAAATATGGCTGAAGTGACTGATATAAACCAAATTTTTAATTTATTTACTTCTATTTAATTTAGCTTGTTGTATGTGGGTTCTCATATTGAGAAGTACAGGACAGAGTTTTTGCTGGTCCTTTGGTATAGTAAACAAACTTCTAGTATAAGAACTTTTAACATCTTGGAAGGACTTTTACTAAAATAAATACTTTTTCTCTAAAGGCTTAAGTTAAAAAAAAGAATTCTTTTTCTTTTTTTGGTACTGGGGACTGAATCCCAGGAATGATCTACCACTGAGCTCTATTTCCAGCCCTTTAAAAAAATTGCTAAATTGCCAAACTGGTCTCTAACTTGCAATCCTCCTGTCTCAGCCTCCTGATACAGTGAGATTACAGGTGTGCACTATTGTGCCTGATTGAACATATATTTTTACTTATGATAGGTGTTCCCAGGAGGGGAATTGCTGTCATATGGTAATTCTGTGTTTAATTTTTTTTAAAGGAACTGTCAAACTTTCCCATATCAGCTATACTATTTTATTTAGCAATGTTTAAAGTTTGCTTTGTAGGTATTGAACTCATTTTTCTACTTCATTTGTTGATCTTAAAGATCCTCTTTTTTTTTTTTTTTTTTGATACTGGGAAAGACCCCATGGCCTCATGCATACTAAGCAAATATTTTGCCACTGAACTAGATTCCCATCCCCCCTTTTAATTTTAAGATTGGATCTCTGAGTTGCACAGGCTGTCCTCAAACTTGTGATCCTTCTGCTTCAGCCTCCTGAGTAGCTGGGATTATAGGTGTGTACCACCATGACTCTTCAATATATTCTATTTTTAAACTTCATTCTGCCTAGATTGAATTTATTAGTAGTTTTCTTGGCTTTGGCCCTGTCCCTGTTCAGATGTATATGCACATTCAGAACCTTTTTAGTTCCCTAGAGATGATCTCTATCCCAAGCTGGTGGCCTTCAAGTGTTTTCACTTTTCTTTGCTTGCAGTGATCACTGGCCAGCATCGAAATGGTGTAATTTCAGCCCGAACTCGGATTGATGTTCTTTTGGACACTTTTAGAAGAAAACAGCCCTTCACTCACTTTCTTGCCTTTTTCCTCAATGAAACTGAAGTTCAAGAAGGATTCCTGAAGTTCCAGGAAGAAGTGCTGGAAAAGTGTTCCATGGTAAGCAGTAAGCAAAACAAAAAGTTAAAAGAAAAAGTCAATATAAAAAAATATAAAAATGGTTCATAATTGAAATAAGCAGAAAGATTCAAACTTCTCTCACCATGAAAAGTAACTATTTCTGGGAGCTGGGGAGCAAGTGGCACATGCCTATAATCTCAAGCTACTTGGGAGGCTGAGGCAGAAGGGTCAGAATTTTGAGGCCAGCCTCAACAATTTAGTGAAACCCCATCTCAGAACAAACAAATGAAAATGGCTGGCGATGTGACTCAGTGGTAGACTGCCCCTGGGTTCAGTTCTCACTACTGAAGAGAAAAAAATTGTCATGAATATGTAAACAGTGAAGTGCTTATGACTAGGATAATAATAGCAGATAATCCAGATTTAAAAACAAGTTTTAAAATTCCTTTTGAATATAGTTTTAGTTGATTTAAAAAATGAAGTTAAGATGGGCATGGTGGTATGTGCCTATAGTTCCAGCTACTTGGGAGGCTGGCAAGCTGGAGAGTCTGAGTTCATGTTTTGGGTAACATAGACCCCATCTAAATGAAAAAATAAAAGTTCATCAATTAAAAAGAAAGTATGGAAAAATATAGCTTATTATAGAAAATACTAATAAAAAATGATCTGTAACCTACCTCTAAGAGATGGTATTGTGGCATATTTTTTTCAAATATATGTATATGTATCAATGTGTTTGTACACTCATATTTAAAAGATAAAAGTTGGCTTATGCATGATTTTATGTTCTGCATTTTTGAAACATAATATTATATTATGAACATTATTTTATCATTGAACAAAAACCTTAATATTTTGCTTTCTTTTTGGAGACTAGGAAGGAAATTATTTCAGTGATAATTAAAATCATCATCATCATCATCATCATCATCATCATCATCTGATTTTTCAGCTATTCAGATGAATTGATTTTATATTTTGAGTTGAGGTTTCAATATGTTGCTCAAGCTTAAAGTTGTAAATTCAGGTGATTCACCTCAGCTTCCCAAGTCTGGTACTACAGATGTGTGCCTCCATGCGTGGCTCAGATGGCTTGATTTTTTTTTTTTTTTCATAATACAGATATGTAACTGTTTAACCTTTATTTTATTGTTTCTATTATTTTAATGTCTATTTTCTTATTATTATAAATAATTTCTATAATGAGTAATCTCCATACATTATGATCAGTACTTACTTAAATTCTACAGAAAGAGTATGTGTGTTTGAGATTTTTTTATGTATACATCTAAATTACCTATAGGAAATTTTATAGAACCTTATACTCCAAATTAGAGTTTTGAGTTTCTTTTTCCTACTTTTGTTAATACTTGGTATTACCATTCTTACAAGGTTTTTACCTTGAGGATTGAACTTACGGGCACTTTACTACTGAACTTCATCCCTGGTCCTTTTATTTTTCATTTTTGAGACAGTTTTGCTAAATTGTGAAGCTGACCTTGAACTTGTGATCCTCTTGCCTCAGCTTTGTGAATTGCTGGGATTATAGGCATTACCCCGTGCCTGGTTTGTATGACCCATTTTTAAGTGACTAACGTGGCATTCAGGTGCTAAAACTAGGCCATAGCTATAAGTCAAATGCTCAAATATGTAGAGAAATGTGGATGTTATAAAAAGTGAATCATCAGAACATCATTTTTCAAAGCAAGATGATTTCGGCTGGGCAAGGTGGTGCACACTTGTAATCCCAGCAATTCTGGAGGCTGATACAGATTTCAAGTTCAAAGTGAGCCTCAGCAATTTAGTGAGGACCTAAGCAACTCAGCAAGACCCTGTCTTTAAATAAAAAATAAAAAAAGTCTGAGAATGTGGTTTAGTGGATAAGTGTCCCTGGGTTCAATACCTGGTACCAAAAACAAAACAAATAAAACCCCCCAAAAACCCAAAAACCCAACAGATGATTTCATTCTTGGTGGTAATGGAAGGCTGGGTAGATCAGGAACACTGAAGTGTCATATAGGCTGCTAATTTTTTGGTGGGCAGAGGCTTGAAAGTTTTGAAATTATTTTATCTTGTAAATACTCACCAGTTGAATATTCTTTGGAATGTTACAGATACCTCATATGAGACAATTGAATTGAAATAAATTAGTCTTTTTTTTTTCTCTTTGTATTAAGTGTATGCTCACTTTTATTTTCTCATTTTTTTTTTTTGTTTTTGGCTCCTGGCATGGGCTGACACAGAACAAATATTGGAAAGATTACTTTAATTTGGCCTGAATGAGATTGTCCATAAATGTCATGCCTTAATCAGTCTGAAGTACTTCCTTCCTGCTTTTAGGAAGACTGCTTACTGGCATGGCCTGCTTTTTGCTTTTACATCAGGTACTGATAACAGGAGGAAATAAGCACAGCATAAAAGAGGAAATAAGTAAGGGACCATTATCTACATTATATGGAAGGGATTTTAGTGATAATAGAATGACAGCAGATGAGTATAAAAGCCTGTAGGCATTTTCTAGTACTACTTTAAACTTAGACCTCCAATTTAGGAGAGTTTCCTTCTAGAAGCTTTGAAGAACATATAGAGTTGTTCACAAAAGTAGCAGTTGTTTCCCGTGTTGCCTTTGGTCTGTTTTGGTTCCTCTGAATCTCACCTGACATCTCTGATGGAGTTTTATCATCTTTAAAATAGGGAAGTTCTCTTTATTCCCTTACTTAAGACAGGGGAAATGGGTAACAACTCTTTTTGGAGGGGAAGGCAGGAGATGGGGTCTTGTTTTGCTGCCCAGTCTGGCCTCAAACTCACTGGCTCAAGTGGTCTTGCTACCTCAGCCTCCCAAGTACCTGAGATTGCAGATATGCATCACCACTGCTAGCTAAAAACAGAAAATTTTAATTTTGATGGAGTCCAGTTTTTTTTTTTAATTGTTTATGCTTTTTATGTGTCTAAAAAAACTTTTATCATGGGCTGAGGTTATGGCTCAGCAGTAGAGCATTCATCTTGCATGTGTAATACCCTAGGTTTGATCCTCAGCACCACATAAAATAAATAAGTGAAATAAAGGTATTGTATCCAACTGCAATTAAAAAAACAAAAACAAAACAAAGTTTTGTCACAAAATTGTCAAGGTTTTTTCTTAAAGCTAAACATAACAAACCTGTGTTTTAACTTTTATATTTAGGCTTTTGATTCCTTTTGAGTTAATTTTCATGTATGGTGAAGAGTAAGTTTGAGTTTCACTTTTTTGCTTATGTGTCTATTTGTTCCAGCGCCATTTCTTGAAACAATTCTAATTTCACTTTTGAATAACTTTGGTTTATTTGTCAGAAATCAAATGACTTTGTTTTTGTGGGCCTATTTCTGGGCTTTATTCATGTATTTATTTTATACTAATATTATACAGTCTTGTTTCTATAGCTTTATAGTAAGTCTTCTGGTCTTAATAGTGTAAGTTCTCCAACTTTGTTCCTATAGTATGCTGTTTTTAAGTCCTTTGGGTGTAGACCTAGGAGAGGGGTAGCTGGGTCAAATGGTGATTCCATTACCAGTTTTCCAAGGAATCTCCATACTGCTTTCCATATTGGCTGCACCAATTTACAGTCCCACCAGCAATGTATCAGTGTACTTTTCCCCCCACATCCTCGCCAACACTTATTGTTGTATGTCTTCATAATAGCTGCCATTCTGACAGGAGTGAGGTGAAATCTTAGAGTAGTTTTGATTTGAATTTCTCTAATTGCTAGAGAATAATGAACAAAAATGATGAACATTATTTCCTATATTTGTGGATTGATTGTATATCCTCTTCTGAGAAGTGTCTGTTCAGGTCCTTGGCCCTTTAATGATTGGATTATTTGAGACGAGATATCTAAGTTGCCAAGGCTGACCTTGAACTTGTGCTCCTCCTACTTCAGTTTCCTGAGTTGCTGGGATTACAGATGTGTGGCACCATGCTTGGCAAAAACATTTTTATTTTTCATTGATAATAATTGAACCTATTCATAGTGTGCAGTATAAAGTTCAATGTGTGGTGCACAGTATATAATAGTTAAAGCATCTTACTGTCAGTCTGTCATTTCTTACATGTATTACATCTTTGTTTTGGAAACCCTCAGAATCTTTTCTACTACTTATTTTGAAATATTCAGTTAAAAATTGTCAACCCTAGTTATAACACTGTTATGTAGAATATTAGAAGTTATTTCTCCTGTTCATTTGCACTCTGGAACCTGTCAACCATCCTTTGTCCATTCCTGTGGTTTTGATAAACAGGATAATACTGACTGACTGACTCAAAATCAGATGAGTAAAATGAGTTGGGAACGGTGCCTTGTATTTTATTAGAGAGTTTGTATAGATACTATTTCTTTTTAAAATGTTTGATAGAATTCATCAGTGAAGCAAACAAAATTTGGGAGTTTTGCAAGAAAGTTTTTTTTTTTGTGTGTGTGTGTGTGGGGGGGAGTATAGGGGATTGAATTTAGGGATATTCAACCATTGAGCAACATCCCCAGCCCTATTTTTTTTTTTTTCATTTTATTTAGAGACAGGGTCTCACTGAGTTGCTTAGTGCTTCACTTTTATTTAGGCTGGCTTTGAACTCTTGATCCTCCTGCCTCAGCCTCCTGAGCTGCTGGGATTACAGGCATGCACCACCATGCCTGGTTTACAAGAAAGTTTTAAATTGCGAACCTGACTTCTTTAATTGGTTTTGTACCCTTCTAATTATCTTTTTTTTTTTTTTTTTTTAAAGCAGTCTTGGGAATTGAACCTATAGCATTGGGTATGCTAGGCAAGGGCTCTACCAGTGAGCCATGCTCCTCTATTAGTCATAAGTTTCTTTTTTTTAAATAACATTTATTTATTTAATACTTTCAGTTTTAGGTGCACACAATACCTTTATTTTACTTATTTATCTTTATGTGGTGTTGAGGATTGAACCCAGTGCCATACACATGCAAGGTAGTGCTCTACCATTGAGCCACAACCTCAGCCCAGTTATCTGTTTCTTGAATGTGCTCTGGTAGTTTGTGTCT